AGAGGTCAGTATCAGCTTTTGAGTGAAAGAATTTTAGCATTTTCCACTTTTAGTAATATCAGAATAGATACTGAAACATTGATCTTAACCATTTGGACATTTATCCTGTAAAAAATAGATCTTGGCTTGTGCACCTCTGAGCTCAGCCTGTATAATTCCAAACATGATGGTACGTTTTATGGAAGGTGATGCTACATGAATGAACTACCTCCTTGGGCAGAGAGCGGGTCTCCATAGTCATTACCCTCTTTCCGTTGCCAAATCATGGGCATAATGAGTCACAGGCACATTTCTAAATATATCGATGGCCCTGTGAAGCATTCAGGGGCATGTCCATCAATTATGGTCATGGGAAAGGTCAGAATAGTTCAGGCTTTCATCATAATTCAACCCTTCCTCCTCAGTTTGCCTTGGGTGTGTTGAAATACTAGGATTGTTCAGTGAGAGGCATTGTTCATTTGTGAGCAACATTTACTGGAAACCAGTAAAATATCAGAGCGAGGCCGTCCCATTTGAAGGCCTATTTCCTCATTGAAAAGCTTTTTGTGTAATAAAAATATCTCAAAAACTCTTCTGTGAGATTCACCAGCCTTGTTTCTTTCAAACCACTGATTACAATCCACAGTTTCAACTGAAGAAAAGACTTTGCTGGGGACTTGGACACCAGCCATCTCTGTTGAATTCCCCTCTCACACACTCTATGCTTCCCCAGTGCTATGGCCCTTCTGTCCAGCATGGTGGACATTTCTGAAAGTGTAGCCCGGACAGCACAGGACAATTCATTAAGTCCTCTGACATTTTAATGTGGCTATAAAATTGGGTGGAATCTGACAGAAGTCAACTCTAGAAATTAGCCTTGGATAGAAGAAAATTGTTCCAAATCCCATTACTTTGAACAGTGTTCCTCTTTTTTTAAAAAAACTAAAAACAGGGATCCTGGCAAAATTCCACAGCTTGTATAAATAAAAGCAGATAACAGAAATCTGGAAGTTGGAAAACACTTCAGAATTAAATATTAAAAGCTCTTCTAAGTGAGCACTCTTAAGTCAGCATTTCTTGTTTTTATTATCCTTTTGGTGAAAGAAAGGCATTCATACTTTTTTTTTGCTGTAGTCCAAAATGAGATGTTTTTGTCAAACATCAGGAGATCTTCCCCAAAATAGTTAATTTCAGTAACCTATCACTTTGTGCTGTTCACATGTAGTATATCATTGTTTTCCAGAAGATTAAGGATTATGTTTTCCACATACTCTTTAGATAAAAAAGAATTCCCGAAGGAAGTCACACCTCTTTTTGGTCTGCTTATATTTTGAAACTGATACATCTTCCCCTCTAATTAATCTGGATTTTTTTTTCTACAATACTTCATCACTTATTGTTACTCATTCTGCATGTATTTATACCAGGGATGAGTGTTAAAGTTCTTAAACTGCTAAGTTAGTGATAATCTATGGCTCTGTGAATCTTTGGCTGGCAGTTTTGCAGGCCATGATTGGTTCATTGCACTCCTTTTTGGCCTGTGTTGCACCAGCACTGCATAGCAGGGCTGCTTGAGAAAGAAATCCTGCTCACCTCATGCAGGGTGCTAAAAGGGAGCGTGGGGAAGGGCCCCCCGTGTCCAGGGAAACCACATTATAAGTCTTTTGATACAAAAGCAGAGCATATTTCTTCTGGAAGAAAAGCAACACTAGAGAAGACCAAACCATTTGGAGATAATGTATTTTTTGGTGCTAGAACTAAATTAATCAAGCCAGAAAACATTGCCTAGCAACATCTGACATTAAAAAGATTCCATAACAAAAAATAAACCACATGAAGGACAAGAGAGAAGACAGCTCAGCTCTTGTTCAGATAAGGGTGGGAGTCTGTAAAAGGAGCCGCCTTTAACCCCAAATAGAGAAAGGAGAAAAGAAATTAAATAACAAGAAGAATACCTCAGATAAGGTGGCCTGACCTATGCTGAGTAAGTCCAACCTAATAGGTTTCAGATCCTGCACCAAGGGGATTAGACACATCGTATTTAATTCTTACAAAATCAGTTATCTTCATTTACAGAGAAGAAAGACAATGCAGTTAAAGATGATTCAGCTTAGAAAATCAGTCCACTAGAATGTCGGCTTTTTCATACTTTCAGTGTGATTGACTTCTTGTTCCTGAAAGACGTGGCTGGTGTCCCACCATGGGAGCTGACTTCCATGTAGGCATCTCTGAAGGGCAAAGCTGGCCACGGCTTCTGTCGCTGACTAGGGTGGGGTTCTGAGTGTAAGACGCAGGACAGCATGCTTAGTGCTGGGTTTGGACAGTCTTAAAAGAAAAACTTTAAGTCCTCTGAATAGCAGAATTCAAAATTGTTTTTATTCTGAAAAATCCAGAGAGAAAGAAGAAAAAAGATGGCTGCTAAAAACCCAAGAGTTAAGATGTAATGCTCATTCTGTGGGAGAGTGGGTAGGGGAGAACTGTATCCACAGACTAGCATTTTCATACTAGATGGAAACTCCATACTGGTCAATATTTGATGACATAAGCAACCTGGTTTCTGGGACATTGTAGTTAATAAGGTGCTGGTTTCCATGTCATTATTTCTGAGGCCATGGGAAAAGCACTGATCCAGTGAAAAAGAATTTCACATTGCTAAATACTCTGCAAACTCAATGGTTTTATTTGATGAATGAATCTCTTGTTTGTTCTTTTTTGCTTTAAAAACAATCAGCAAGTGTTGGACCCTCCCACTCTTTCTTTTTTTGCAGTATGAAGGACTGAACCTAAGGCCTTCAAACTGAGCTACACGCCTAGCCCTTTTTTATTTGTGTTTTTGTATTTTGAGACAAGGTCTCACCAAGCTGCTAAGTTGCTTAGGTTTGGCTCAAACTTGCAACCCTCCTCGCTCAGTCTCTCATAGTGCCAAGATTACAGGCTGGATCTTCTCTGTATGAGAGACACTCCTGAGGATACCCACAGAAGATGAGAGAAAACAACAATGAACTTTCAGAATTTTGACTATGACTGGCTTTCAGGACATGATCAATCATTTTATGAGTTGTATGTTTTAGGTATCTGGGATTATATCTATGATTAGAGTATGGATATCAATATGTGTATGTGTATAGATTTTTGGTTTTTGTTTTTTATTGGTGTGCTATAATCCAAATCACTCAGCAGCTAATAGATTATCACCTGAAGAGATTGTAAGGCCCATAACCAATTCAGAGAAATCACAGAACCCTGCAAAGTACAACCTGTATTTTAGTCTTGGGCTCTTCTTACCACCTCTAACCTCTCTCTTAAAGTGTTACTCTGCTGTCCTTATAGTGAACAAAGCTAAGGGTACGTGTCAGCTTTTCATCACTGGGCCCAAAAGCCTGACACTTTCAACATGAAGAAGAAGACGGTTTATCTGGCTGCTGGTTTCAGACGGTTCAGTCCAAGGTCGTCTGGCTGTAAGGCAGAAACGTGATGGCAGAAGGGCATAGTGGAGCAAAGCTGCTCACTTTTTGCCTGGGAAGCAAATTGTGTGGGTGTGAGTACCATCAAGAGATACACCTTACAAAGGCATGCCTGTGATGATTTACCTCCAACCAGGCCTTACTGCCTAACACCACATTCAGCTATGAACATGAGTAGATTAATCTATGAGAGGTATAGCATACCCGTGTTCTAATCACCTCTCTGGGAGTCTCTTAATCAAGTCCTTCTGACAACAATTTTCTGAATGCTCTTTACTCAGTCTACATGGAGCTGTCAAGAAGGTTACATTAGCCACCTGTAGTGGTGCCTGTCTATTATCCCAGCTCTTTGGAAGTCTGAAAAAGGAAGATTATGAAGCAAGAGGATTGGATGCTTGAGCTCAGAATCGTCAACTTGTGACTTAGTGGGTCCCTGTCTCAAAAAATAACAAAGGGCTGGGGATATAGCTTAGTTTGAAGGCCCTGGGTTAAATCCCCTGTATCTAAACTATAGTTACATTAAATTCTTGCAGTATTCCATAGTTAAAAAGGAAAAACAAGTCACATTATCCAGGCTAGGAAGAAAAATCAGAATGGGATGGAAGTGAGATCAAGAAATGCTTAATGAGTTTAATTCTACTCAAACTTGGCAGAGAAAAAAATTTTGTCTCCCTTGACAGATGGAGAGAGCATCTTTGTGTTCATCTCCACATTTAATTCTTTAAGAAGGAACAAGCTAATGAGTTGGCTCCCCTGAGAATCACTTGGCCTCTTACAGCATTATGAAAAAAGATACATTCTTTTTACTGATTATTCTCAGCTTTAGTCTTTCTTCTTTCATCCCTCTCTGCATTTCCTTTACCCAAGAACCAACCAACCAAAAACCAAGCACGATAAATGACATCCCTTTCCTCCAGAAAATGATCCTCCCTGATCAGTGGGCTCAGGGACGTAATTATCCTTCACCTGCATCACTCAGCTACCTATATGCACCTCTAGAAAGCTCCCTAATGTTTGTTAGGAGCTAGCCTCAAGAAGCCTGCAATATCAAGAACCTTCAGGGTTATCAAGTCCAAGTGTGTTATGATAATTATGACAGTCTTCTAGCATGTCTTTAAAACGTAATGGGTCCAAGATACATGTGTCTTCTTCATGGATTCAAAGTACTTCTATATTTATATGGGTAAATAAAAATATTTTTACAATAACACTAGTCACAGGAGTTTTTCCTTAAAAAGGAAGTAAGTACAACACTGGGAAATGTTTAGTCATGTTTCATAAGAATTCTGGATTTTCAAGGCCAACTCAGAATAAAGCATCACCACAGCTTACAGCTGCTTTTCCTAGAAACACAGGTAGCTTTGAGTAAGCATTTTATATCTGGAGAATATTTTTAGAGATTTACATTTAGATGGAATCGCGGAACACAATAGTTTATTCTAGTGAATCAGTTTTGAAGGACTCACTTACAGCTGGTTCTGAGTCAGTGTTGGGGCCAAGCCAGGTTGACTGGACACCAGGCAGAGTCTGACCTTGTCCCATTCCTTCTCTTTTCAGTATCATACCCTCTTCACCCTCCATCCAGGAACATCACATTAAAGTGCTGCAGAAAAGATGACCCATAGAATGATCCCACTGGATTTACCTGTGAGGACCATGGGTCTTCTCCAAGTCATGAGGGAGCCCTTCTCCACTCGGGCCCAGTTCTTCAAAAAGCCTTATTGCTGACTAAAGATTTCTCCGGAAACGTGTGTGTATGCACAAGAGAGAAAACTGAAAGCTACACGGCACATGTGGGGAAATGGAATGGTGCCCTTGGTGTTCAGACCCAACTGTTCCCAAAGTGACTACTTCTTCTTTTCTCTCCACGTGCTTCAGACGCAAACACCCCTCTTGAGTAAATTTGCTAGGCACAGCCCCACAGGAAGGCAAGTTTTCTGTTTACTTGTGTCAAATTAACAGGGGCTGTTTCGTCTGGATTCTGAAGTCTTCAAACAATACTGAGCAGCTAGAACAACGGCCCGGCTTGGCCAGTAGGAGATCATTCTCCGTGCCTCCGCCCTGCCTTATCCCTTCAGCTGGGGACTCAGTGTGGTGGGCAGGGAACCCCTTTTGGAAAGATATTTCAATAATTATGCTGCAATCCTTAGCCGCTGATTCAGCTTAGGAAGCAGGCTTTGTTGTATTTTTGCTGGGGGCCTTTGCCTGATGCTTATACAGGCTACTCATTTTGTTCCCGATGATGAAAGGAATTCAAATTTAACCCAGAAAACTTCGATAATAAGAACAAAATTCAAAAGCAAACCTGTACTCTTACCATCAGACATAATTTATATTCATAGTGTTTTGATGAATATTCTTCTGGTCATTTTCAAAAAGAGTGTAGGGCTCATGGGAGTGGTTGGGATGAAAAAGGGGTTGGGGGGAAGCCAGGCATACTTGTCAAAAGGCTTTGTAGCTTCTTCCTTCTGTCTTTTAGTGTATTGTGAGCATTTTGCCATGGCAATAAACAGTGTAGTAGTGTTTCTCAACCAGGGACAATTTTCATACTTAGGGGACATTTGGTAATGTCCAAAGTGTTTCTGTTACTCATATTTATTATGGATATTGCTAAATACCCTACAGTGCAAGAGCAGTCCCCATAATAAAAACTGATGCAGCCCAACATGTCAATAATGCTAAGGTTGAGATCCTCTCTCTGTAACATTATTTTAAATAGCTACCTATTATTCTATCCGAGGGGGAGATTTTCCACTGTGGAAAATTTAGCTTATTTCCAAATGTTTTGCTATAACGTACAGTCTGTAGAATATTCTGTCACACAGTTTTGTACAAACTTCTGCTGCGGCAGAAAGTGAAATGATGTGACCAGAATTTACATAAAGGCATTTATCAGGCACAAATCTACACTAACAGATTAAGAGACACTGATAGGAATCAAGTGCTTAAATCTAGAGGCCAACATACAATAAGTGCTCTGTACATTTTAGCTGTCATTAGTTTAGACTTTGAATAATCAAGTCCTCCAACTTGGCAAAATTCTCTTTCTGTTAATATTAGCAGCAAGTCCAGAGTAGACATCTGTGTTTTGTTTTTAGTCACTGATTATCATTTTAGGCTGGATAGCTGTCTTTGGTCAGAGATTGCTTTGTGAACCTTAGACTCAGGTCACCAATGCAATGTGTACAGCTGAGACTGAAAAATGTTGGTAATAAAACAGCTTTTGAGAAATGGCATTCTCCTGTGGCAGCATATCACACATTTTTTCCAATAAAAAAGAATATATGTTTGATTTCTCTACTTTGAATTAGTCATTTTTATTATTCTTCAAATTATTAATTTGTACCATAGTCTGATCCATTTTCTTTTTAGATGTCAAGAATTTTTTACTTAGAAAAACAATAGTTTGCATTTATCATGTGTCAGGCCCCATTCTTTTTGATCTTCTTTTTTTTGTCTTTTTGAGTCAGGGTTTCACTATGCATTTTAGGCTGGCCTTGAACTTATTTTGTAGCCCAGGATGGCCTCAAACTCATAGTGATCATCCTATCCTCCTGCCTCAGCCTCCTGAGTGCTGGGATTACAGGTATGTGCCACCATGCTGGGCTCCTTCAGGCCCCATTCTAAGTGCACTGCACATATGGAATCATTAATTGCTCAAAATAAACTAATAAAATGGTAATCTGACCCTTTATTTTTCTCTGCATCAGGATCCCACCACAGATTTATAATACTGACAAAAAATAATTTCAGTGGGTTAATTCATTTGGTGAGCCAATATCTTTTAGGTTCATTTTTTTACATGAAATATTCACAGTTTAAAAATATGTCTCTTGGTCTGCTCACAGATGTTTGGAAAACACCCTTTTTAGTTTCCTACATGGATCACCACATGCTCATATCTCATTTAGGTATGATTACATTCAAGAGTGATTTTGGCTCTAATTTTGATTTCTGTTAGATACTTCAGCTTTTTGAGATCAACTTTTAACCACTAGATTCAGAAAATGAGTTGGAGAGTATTTTTTCTTTTTTTTTATTTTCGGGATTAATGTTTGTAGTATTACATGGATTTAAAGTGATTAGTATACCTTCCCTAGCGTGTCCTTTAGTCTTTGCATTTCTTTGTGAGATGACTGTAAACTATTTCTTTGTATGTGTTACAATATATCCCCCAAAGCCTCAGTGATGTTGGAGTTTTAAATTTTAATATTTTTGTTAATATGTATTTGTGATACACAATGAATACCTTCATCACGGAGAATTGGTACATCACATATGCATCTTGATCTTCTCTTGGTCTTTTGGCTGAGATCAAGTATAATATCTTCTTATCCATGTACGTTATGATTTTTCACACAGATGTCATGATCCTCAATTTAATGAATTCTTTGGGGCCAAGCTATGAGCATATTCCTAAAGAGCATATGTGCTTTTGTTTATTCCTGGAAGCACTGGATTATAATTCTCTGAAGAAGTGAGTCAGGTAACTGTAGAGGAAAAAATCCTTATTTTATCTGAAATTTTTAAATTACTTTCTGTCTTCATTTTCATGTTATGTAAATAATCCAGGAGGGGTAATTCTGTATCTAAATCGTTTTCATTTAAAAGCTTGGTTCATTTTTAAATTATTTAATATTATTGGTTACTAGAAAGATTAATTTTAAAATTGTAAGGCAACTGAGGAGCTTTGAGGCCAAGCACGTACGTTTAAATGCCTCAAATAGCTGAATCTGAACATCTTTAACTGAAGTCCACCTTCAGCGTGAGTGAGTGAGGCAGGGGCTGTCCCCGCATTCTCCCAGGCGCGGCTGATGACTGCAGTGACTCTCTACGTCTCTGTGTTAAAATGAGTGATGCCATCAGGAAATCATCCCCTTCTGCAAGAAGCATTAGTCCTTGATGTTGCTCAACTCACAGACTAATTAAATCCTTATTTTCTCTTTTCCCCCCAGATACATAAGTCATCCAAATATAGTTTAAAATAGTTTAAAAGCCTTATTAGTAGAAGCATCACAATATCAGTTTCTTCTATCCACATTCTCATATATAGCGAAAACCACATTTCGCACATGGATTATAAATTGTATTTTACTGTGAAATGAAACAGAAGGAGAACATGAAATCTAAATCAGAGTCACACTTTCTACCAGTTTCTTATACAAGACATATATTTTAGTACATTTCCAGTACACTTTAAAGCTTCTTTAGATGAAAACATCTCCATGTTTAAGGAGCTAACTGCAATGAAAACTGATGCAATGGATTTGAAATATTAAATATGTGACTTAGAAACGATGAATGTGACTTTTCTCCCCTGAAATCTTTCTTCCAAAGGACCTAAATTATTTTCATGAATATGGGGATGTTGATTTCCTGTGTAACATATGTCTGGCTTGTTAAAGGTATTTAATGTGAATGAGGTGAATGTACCATTTTGGATCTGGAATTCATGCTGTTTATCTTATCTGATGCCACAATTTTGAAAGTACAGTTCAAATTCTGTGCTCTCAGGAAAAATAGTTTGTAATTCAAACAGCTTTTCTTAGCAATACTGATAGTATGGGGTAGGGAGACCCTACTGTAGACCCTATTATGGCATCTCAAATAAGAATTGAGGCTGCGTGTAGACCTTGGAGGTATTCTCAATCCAGATTGTTTTCTTCTACCAGAACAGTATGTAAAAACATGTGGCTAGTATTTTTCTTTAAAAAGGAATAAATATTTCAAATTCTTACAGCTGTCCACTGCACTTCAGTTTTGAGGGATAAGCCTTTTATAAATAATTCTATGAACGTGCCAAATGTCATTCTACATAATAGAGGTCCTCATGGAAAGGGATTTACTTTTATTATTCACTTACTAATGTATATGCCATGGTCTGGAGGTTATGGTGGGATAGGATGTTTTGATCATTGATTATTTCAGTTCCTGGAAGTGAAAATGTCATCACCTTCGAAGGCCAAATCATCTGGGGCTGGAAAGAATCACCAAGATTGATGCTTCATGTATGCAAATATAGACAGACACCCACCACCAACCTGAAATCTTCTTTCTGAATGCAGATGCCAGGTCCTGGTGTGTTACATCTTCAATTTAGGAAGTTGAATTGGAGGTGAGGGTAGTTTGACTATGGATTGAACTGGAAGAAGAAGCAGTTTTCTGAAAAGAGGATATTATATTAGATTGTAGTGGATGAAGGGCTATTTAAAATGGATAAAGTAATACATTGTATTGAGAAATACAATATGAATATCTTTGGGCAATTTCCTCCTCTTTATAGTTCTTCAGCTGTGTCTATCATGATAGCAAATCAGTTGAAGATCAATCTATTAATTTATTAATCTATAGTTATTTTTTCATATTGTATTTTCACAGTAGCATGGCTGCTATTTTCAACCAACTTTCTGGTTTGTGCTTCCAGTATCCTCTATTTTCTTAGAGGATATTTTATAAACTTGCTCTCATATTTTAATTTTGGTCTGAGTTCTACTTTCTTCAGGGATTATATCCCTAAGATATCACATTGCTCTTCTCTATGAGTTTACATTGCCCAGACAGCGATGTGGGTGAGTGTGATACTTTTGATGAGTGTAGTTGGATTAGGGTGGTGGGTGGTGACTGTTATTTTCTCTAAAGGAGCTTTCTAAGAAGGCCCTTAGGATGAGTGAAGGACAGAGTGGGTAGATGGAAGGAGGAAGAGCTTGGAGTGGACAACTGTGCTTGTTCCTATTATCAATACTTCCCCTCCCAGCCAGGCTAGAGCTGTGCTCTAGTCCAGCTCTGCTGCCTCCACTGGGCACTGGACTGGCCCCCTGCTCTCTTGTCTTATGGAGGTAAAGAGTGAATTTTCTGCCTAGATAAGTTAAAGAGGGAAAAACACACGTAAAAATTCCTTCCTTCCCCATTCATTGTCTGCTTGAATCTGGGTGGGTGTCTGAGTCCTAATGGATGATGAGAGGTTGGTGGAGACAAGAGAGATAGCTGCTGGCAGGCACAGTAGTGTGGCCAGGTGTCCTGTGTGGCCAGGAAGGGAAAGTGGATATTTGAATGATGCCTGTCACCATTTCCAGGTGCTTGTTAACAGTAAGTCAGTTCTTCGAAGCACTCCCTCTCCTCTACCTGTGTGCCATTACAGTGCAGCATACTATGTCCTGCCTGGCAAGCAAAAATGATTCCAGCAACCTGTCCTTGGACCCTTTCTCCATTGTTTCCTGGGGGGTTGGATTATTTATTAGTGGCCCTTTTGTGTTTCATTGTGTGTGCTTCTGTCCGATGAGTAATGCTTTTATTTTTTAGGCAGTTGATGTGGCAGTCCCATCCACAGGCAACTATAAAAACTAAGCATCTCTAAGTCCTTTTCATAAATATTTGTGAAGTTTCAAAATCTTCACATTTGATCAGTATAAGTCAGCCTGAAAGGCAGTCTGCGAAGAAAGCCCTTTGGAGACAGCAGTGCTTTCTGGCTGTGGGAACTTCCTCTGGGAACAAGAGGTAGGGACTCACAAGAGACTTCAGCAAAGGGAAATAAGACAGGCACTTCAGGATGATTTTATTGAGATCAAATTTTAAAAATCCTGCTATGGGGAGAAGGAGAGATAGATCAAAAGTCTGGTGAAGGGACAAAATAACAGTCCCTAAGGTTTTTATTCTTACTGAATGCAGGCAAGGTTCTGCATTATAAGGAAAGCTATAAATATGCAAAAATATATATTTACACCATTTGGGATGTTTTTCTGAATTTTTAACATTGACAAAAATATCTTGCTTTTTTCCACTCAAGCTTTTCCTAATACTAGCTGACTTATTCACTAAAACATAAAAGATATAAAAAAAGGGCACAATATCTTTTTGAAAAAAACCAAAGGCATGGATATCTTTTTAAAGAAAGTAAAATTCTAACTGGATTGACTAAATGGGCTGGATTCAGTATTATAAAGTTAGAAAATGGCTTTTTTTTCTCCTACAAACCCCCCACCTCCACCCCTGTGGAACTGGCTATGTAGCTATGCAGCCCAGGCTGGCCTTTAAATTGTGATCCTCCTGTCTCAGACTCCCAAGTGCTGGGATTATGGGCATGCACCACCATTCCTGGCTTCTCTTACCATCACTTTGTGACTCTCAGATATTCTTTCCTTATAGTTGATATTTTTGGCTCACTTTTAATTGCATTTGTCAGGTACTAAAAGTGCAGCCTGATCTGAATTGAACTTCTGAGGCCCAGTTTAACGCTTTTGCCCTCGGGCCTGGGGAAGGTATGCTGAGTCTCTCCTTCCTTTCTTGCTATCCTTTGCCTTTG